GAAGTAGTAGTTAAAATTTAGCTAACACAGTTATCGAGCATGTGTGAGGTCATAATGCTGAAACCTACATAGCATTCTGGATATCATCGAAGTTCTAAAATTACGTTTATTTAATAATTCAAGGGCCAACAAAGTTAAGTACCATGAATAAAAACTTCTTTTTTTGCAAACTGTTATGAAGTTGGGCGGTTCACTCGTCTTCAAATACGGACGGGGCGTATTAAACCACTATAGCACTGGTCTTTGTGCCTCAAACACAGAACTGGGGGCATTCACATTTTCTTTCAAAGCAGCATACCCCTTTTTATAGGCAGTACATACTTTTCGTGATGACATCAGTTTTTCACTAATTTTTCGCAATCCTAGAAACTTGTAAATTTTCATCCGAGATTCTTAGTAGCCTCTTGCCTCGAGGGACTGCCGGCATGACTAGTTACAAAGTTCAAATTAAATGTCTAGGTCGCTTTAGTGGTCGATTTGATTTTCAGTTCTTGTGCAAATGTCATTTGTTTTAGGTAATGTATGCAAATAAATATAACGAAAAGCCACGGGACATAACAAAGTTCGCACCTGGATGCGAAGCTACTACTGAATTTTGCGATCTCAACGCATTTATTAAGCGTTCTAGGCAGCTCTTCTTCGACGATGTTGATTATCAATGCACTACAAATGTTACTAATTTGAACTTACGTAAGTTTTTCGAATTTCTTTTTCTGCGAAATCATTGGATGGAGCATGAAGAGTGGCTGTGGGACAAATTACGTGGTTTTTTAAAATCCAGTAAAGGAAATGGGACTGCGGGCAAAAGTTCCATAAAATCATAATAGACGTATTTTTTATTTTTCACTTCCTGTTACGCTAGAAAAATTACTGGGCCACCAGTGATTCAATATTAAGCCAGTGATGAATGTGGAGAATACTTGTGCTGGGCCCTTCTGCCTTAATTGTGCAACTAATAAACAACAGGCGGATTTACCTTTGCGATAAAAAAATCTCCACGGTTGGACTTTTTCCCAGGTTTGGGTGATTTAGGAAACACAATACTTTTCATTTGATATACTAAAAGCACCTGGAAACCAACGCAAATTTACGTTTTCTGCTCAATTTAGCCATTACCTTGCTCCAAATACAATATTAGATCGTGCTCTCATCTGTCTGAGGCTCGAGTATGAAGCTAAGAAGTTGATAAGGTCTCTAACTCATGACTCAGGACTAATGTTTGAAAAAACCAGGCTTTCGCAGTTGTAATAAATAAATGTATATGCATAGATGCAATCACACTCACAGTAGGTATCGCCAATACCAAAACTACGAAGTTCGCCTGGGCTATCAGTTTGGGTATCCATGTGAGTGATATTACTGGGATGCTCCTACACGCTGGACGCAGCTATGACAAGCCCTTGGAAGCTGTGCCGCATACCTCCAGCTAATGCCCAATGCACATCCGGCGTGAGTGCGCCATCACTTTGAAGGTCGCCCAAATGGTCATTTAGTTCTTCCTGAATACTACTTTCTAATACACGATGCCTCGTCAAGGCGCGCTATCAAATTTGCGTAAAAAGCAGAAACTAAGGAAAATTAATAAATTTTCTTTGCAGGCGATGTAATCAGACGGTCAACGGACTACACTAGGATGCAGCATGCTGATCTCATTGAGTTCTTCTAAACAGGAGCGTAAAGCACTTCGCAAGAGCTTGTTTTTGTTTTCTGTTTTCCAGTTGTTTTTCTGATTGGTTCTTCGCAAGTTTTGTTTTTTGGATCAATTTTCCGATCCCAAAATTAGGAAAATTTTTCTTAAAAATCTTGAAAAAAGAAAAAAATTAGGAAAGAAAAAAAATCGCTGAAATTAAAAATTCCCTTCTCTAAAACAGCTTTGTTAAAAGGACCAATTTTTGATTCCTTTACTTCATCACACATATTGCACAGCTCAGATGGTCCGGAACAGATGGCACACATATTTTCGAATAGGCGATAAATACCAACTGGAAATATGCATCTTAGGAACAATGGGCTAACAAAGGGCTACGCCCGGCGTACAAGAAGGTCCCAGTAGCACCACTAACTTGGGATTCTTACACTGACAACACGAGTAGTACTGGTGTTTTTGTCCTGTTATAAAGAGCCCGAGATCAAAACTTTTGTCACATTTCACTCTCTTTGGAAAGCGGAGACGCTCGAAAGTAGCCTGAATTATGGCCCTGGGGACCAATGTTTAAGCAGTTTTAAAATGAAGAGACGTAATGCCAAAAACTACCCTCTCATATATCGCTGTCAGTCTTCTATCAGGCTGACAGCGAAATGTGAGAAGGTAGTTTTTTAAACACTGTG